GGGGCTCCTCGCCGCCCCTCTGCACTCTCGGGGCTCCTCGCCGCCCCTCTGCACTCTCGGGGCTCCTCGCCGCCCCTCTGCACTCTCGGGGCTCCTCTGCACTCTTGGGGCTCCTCTGCACTCTTGGGGCTCCTTGCCGCCCCTCTGCACTCTCAGGGCTAGGCCAATGTGCCCCTGCAAAATACTGTACCTTCTCCGGTGCCAGGAACGCCCCCCGCTACTGGAGAGTCCCTATGAGGCCTCCTCCACCCCTAATAGCCTCACTCGGTCCTCTGGTTAAACAGTAAACACAAAACACAAAGTCCCTGGGCTATAACATAAAGCTAAACTGTCCGGTCAGACAACAGTTAATCCCTACCAGGCAAAGATACTCCAGCTCATGGCAGCAACCTGTGGATACTCGTGCAGCCAAATCTTGGCCTTCTCTCCGCCCTGGCTGAGCTCCTCACTCCTTGGCTGTCAGGGGAGGAACTGCCACCCTAGCCTCCTGCCTGGGTTTAAGAAGGGCTAAGCCCTTCCCCTTCCTGTCAGGGGGTTTTGCCGGTTGCCCCGGCAACCAGCATCTGTGTTGCCCTGGTGGCTGCGCCTCCCCCTCCTCACCACTAGGGGACTCTCTGGAGCCATCCCTGTTCTCAGGCGCAGGGCACCTAAGTGCTCTGTGACATGAGCAAACAGCCCACTTGGTGTTCAAACTGTGTGGGGCAAAATTTTGGGGGACAAATTTTCATGTGATTCACTATGCAGCTGGTACCCCTGACCACCCGCCTATACGTCTACTACATCTGTGCTTCCACCCCTGTCAGCCGCTATGGCTCTGGATATGGTCATCTCCTTGCAGCTATAGGTCAACATATTGTGGCCAGGCAGGTGTGGGAAGAGCTGGAAACTGTGGAGCAGTGATTCTGGGCCAGGGCACTGGTGACACGTAGGAGGTGCACATGGGTGCACTTGAACTCCCTGAGTGTGGTGGTGCACCCCTTTGAAAAGGTGCTGCTGGTCACCAGTCACCCCCCTTCCCAGCCCCCCGCCACCGTCGACACTGCAGGTGGTCTGCAGATGGTCTGCGATTGCCACTGGCCGTTGCTGGTGGCAGCATCTGCAGGTGGTTGCCGACTACCGGTTGGCGCTTGCCACCCTCCTGCCTGCCGCTGACAGCTGCCTGCGGGAGCTCGTTGCTCACTACTACCATGCTCCCACTGCTAAGAGCACTGCCACTGCATGCAGGAGCTTGCTGTGCGCCCCAGCCTCCAGGAGCATGCAGCGTTCGTGGGCCAGGGAGATGAGCAGTGATTGGTAGGAGTGGATCCTAATGGCTGCTGGGAATGATGAGCTGTGATATGCAAACTTCTGCATGTTAAAGGGTACCTTCATGAAAATCTGCCCCACAAATACAGTGGGAAGCAATGGCAATGTGGGCATCCTTATCCTTGGAGAAATGCACTGCCAGCACTATATGGAAGCAGCCCTAGACTGCCTGTGGTCCGTGGCAAACCATTTTGGCATTGACAAGTTGACAGCTGGAAAGGCAATGCAAGAGGGGTGTCTAACAATGATATCGTGAGATAACCATTCAGATGTCCTTTGTGATAATGCAGGACAAACTGGTAATACCCCTTATCCCACGAACCTTTTGGGGACTTTATCCTATGCTGAGTGAGAAGGATGTCTGAACACTTGCACTTTGTCCCAGGAGAAAACATTTTCTCCCTCAAAAAGAGCAACGTCTGTCTGTAGCTATAGTTTATTGGGGTAGGTTTTGTTGGATGTATTCTAAAGCTTGTAAGGTTTGTGGTGGTAGACACTAGTTTTTGAATGAAGTCTCCTGATGCATTCAATTTTGCTTGTAATGTACAATGATAATCAAACCTGGATGCTGATTTTTTTACCAACTCTCTTTTTTCTTTTCTTAATACAGATGCATCACAGATGAATAATGTGGTACCAACTTCTCCCCTCCTCCCTCAGATGACACATCCACATTCATATCCTAACATGGGGCAGATCACAAATCCTTATGAACAACAGCCCCCAGGCAAGGAGCTTAACAAGTATGCTTCCCTAAAGGCAGTTGGTAAGCAAGGAAAATATTGTATGGTTTTTTATTTCGTTTAGGATATTCCATACTCCAGCATCAAACAACATTCAGCTTCCAAGTAAAAGAAAAACCATGCATTTTGGTCTGCTTAGTTACAGTAGCAAAATGGCTCAAATTCTATTGGAATTCAACTGGGAATGTATTCTATACATTAACATGGGGATTACTTACCAATTAGGGATTGTGAAATTACATCTAAGCATTTTAGATTTAAACACTCCAAGGACACCTATATGCATATCTTATATTCAGGTGGTAAACCTATATTGCATTCAGAAACTCTAGATTTGCACATGCAGATCAACTAATTATGCTCTGAACACGTAGTGTGCAATTAAAAAAAATATAGTTTTAAAAATTATGCTTTGTACAAAAATGACATGTATGTCTATGCAACATTAGAGTCTACAATCTAGGTGCTTTCTGTGTGCAACTGCAAAAAAGAATGGCCTTTGTTGTAGAGGAATACATCAGTAGGCTACTGGCACATGACCTAGTTGTATCATGGGGCCTTATGCTTTTAACCATTTCAAAAGTGCACTTCTCAGATTCCTAATGCAGACTCCTTCATGGCTTTTTGCTGTTAGTATGGCTGATTAATTTTATATTTCTTTCCTTTAAAAAAAGAAAAAAAAACAGTTCTTGAAAAAGCAGTTTTGTTGGAGGAGGAACAACGAGGAATGAAGTTTACAGTGTACCTTCCATTACGGAAGTTAAATCCTTAGTACATTTTAAAAGCTTTAAAACCTATAGCAAAGCACTTATGGAGCTGAAGCTTTTCTCACTTTATAGTATCTGTCCTCTTTTAGATAAAGACAACAACAATAATAATAAACTATGGATTCAGCTTTGCCTTAGCTTTCTACCAAGCTTGTCCAGCATACACATAGTGAAAATGATACCATTTCCCCCTAAATTTAGAACAGCATCATGCATCCTGTTTCCACATAGCTAGCTAGCTATCTCAAACTAACAGTGGAACACCTGAGAATATTCTTACCCTGAATCTATCAGTCACCATGCCAGAAGAATTCCTTTTACACAGGCAAAAATGGCCTGCCCCAAACTTTTTTTTTTTAAATTGTGTCTCAAGCCAGTTACCCAAATCAGTTCTGAATTCCATTGACTGAGCAGAGCTTAATTTTTCAAGTTGATGTGGTGCTACCACTGACAAGTATCCTACCTCCAAGACTTTTCAGCCCAGGGCTTCAGATACTCCCAAATCCATGACATGCATACTAGGTGCAAGCCCCAAGGCCTTGGAGTTTAGGTGCCCCCTCAAAGGTTCCTTCTCTAATGCAGGGGCATTTGTACACATGGTCATGCTGCAGCACTGGACCCTGCAACACACCCATTTGTGTAAACGGCAAAATTAGATTCTATACCTGGAAAGTCATAACAATGTGTCAGCACCGAGAAAATGGTGGTGGTGCACTTTTGAATTAAGACACGTCAAAGGTATTTTAGTTCAAAAGTGCACTGCCACCATTTTCTCAGCACTGACGTGCATTTCGTCATTTTTTACACATACATGGAACACAGCACTGGGCGCATCAGCGCGCATCAGAGCAGACAAATGTATGTGTATATATGCCCCAGGTTTCCATTTTATTCTTCAACAAGTTTGCATTAGTTAACACTTTTTAAATCTGAAAGTAGGTCCTTGCATAGCAGGCATAATCAGGAACATTGTTTTCCTTCACAGTTCTGGCTGAATATACCTAGAATGGGAAGAGTAGTTTGACAAATTCATCTGCCTTCAAACCAGTGGTGCTTTGCCACGAGGGAATCATTATGGCTTTGACATAAACCTATCTTTAAATTGCCTGTTTATAGAGTGCCAACCCTTGTAGCTAAACATAATTTAAGTGCAATAAAATAGTAGGTGAAAGATTTAAAAATGAGCTCTGCTTTCACCCGCACAAGAACCAGTCTTGATTTTTTAAAGTATCAGCTTAGCTTCAGTTATTAAGGACAGGTTATTAAAAAAATGTATTGCACAAGGTTCTGGGAATGGTTATATTATTCCTGGAAGATATTCCACAGATTAAGTCCCAATGTAACCAATACTAGGAGAGAGAGTCTTTATTCCCGTTTACTGGCTGATCCTTGTAGGAGGTTAATGAGTCTGCTGCAATCTCAGGTAGAAGAAATAGGCCCTGATTTTTAAGGTACTTAAGGAACATACCTCCATAGGCATTAATGACTTCGCTTAAAATTCTAGTAACAGTGAGGCTTCACACTGTTTTGACAATCAAGGTGAATATGTCATCAGTAAGAGAGATAATGATGAGTATTTTTAAAGTAGAACTAGAGAGTTTCACTATCCAACTGCTCTGAAACCTAAAAAAAGAATTTTTGGCCTCAACCCACAAGAATTGAAAACATTACTCTATCACTGATACATTGTATTCTGACAGATACAAAAGAGACTGAATAATATTTGGTAAAAATATCAAATCTCTCATCAACATCAGTAGGCCTTCCACATATCTATGGGGAAGAGATTACAGTCCCTTGTATCTAGATATGATGAAGAATGGCATAATTTTTTTTAAACTGTCATAAGAGCAATTTAATTTGTATTGCCTGCAACAGCATGAGTCAAAAGTAGAAAGGAGTCATTTGCCCTTTCTAGATGGTTAGGTGGTATGGGGGAAAGGGCTCTATTCATCTATATTTGATTGAAACTTTCTTTTTTTTAAAATATTTAAATTATGAGATTTTAAAACCTTTAGATTAAGAAATCCAGGGCAAAGTACAAGAGCTTCCAAACAGTGAAGTTGTAACTACTGACAAATCAAATCTGAACAATTGTGAGGTTGGTATTGCATCTCCTTTCAACAGCTATGATTTTAACCTTAATCTAAGCAACACTTACAAACATGTAGATACTCACTCCCACTTGGATTATACAATGTTACATTGCTTTTGGCAATCACTTGGAAAAAGCTATCCTTTCATGCAGAGCTATGTGATCTGCTAGCTTGAGATGATGTTAAACAGTTTTCAGATCCAGGTGCAGCTCAGGGTATCAGTTGTTACCCAAAGCTGTCTTTTAAGCAAAGATGCCACTGGTCTGTATACAGAGACTCTGATGCTGTTACACAGTTACACCAAAGTCTGCCTTTCATCTGGGTGTAAACAGCCATACTTAAATTATAAAGTTACTTAGATTCTAATCACTTTAGTTCCATCACTTTTATTTTTCCCTTAGTGTTTGCTGACAAGTGGCTTGAGCATTGATCCAATTACCTTTAGCAAAAAGAGGTAATTAGAACCACAATAATGAGTGTGGTTCTCCTCTCTGTGCTACATAGAAACTACCCACAGTTGTTTAAGTGCAGCTTGTGCCACATGATCTCTTCGATAGAAATTAATTTGTACTGTTAGTATTTCCTCCAAGAAGGACAATCACTCTAATACCAGTATAATAAAGCAAAACTAGTAGTAACCAGGATTATGATATGTAAGTATCACCAATCATCAAACAGTCTTAAGAGCTAAGATGTTTAGAGACAACTGAACACATGAGGTGGTACCAGCTGCAATGTTAAAGTAAGTTTGCGAGGTAAGGCAGCTGCTTTCTCTTATACTAAAGCTTTTGTAAGCTTATTTTTAGGGGTCAACCATTCCGTTCTGTTCACATTAAATCTTATGGCTCCTAGTAATTCAGGTCACAAGATGTTGTAGCTGCGTAAGGTTTGGAGACAAGGTCAGTCTTCGGAACATAAGACCTGCTAAAGGGGAACAGTGTTACTGTTATTAATTAATTATGTGTTAAAAGTCCATGGAGCACCTGATTCAGCAGAGAGAGAGAGCAACCAAGGTTGAAAAGGCCAACATTGACACTATATATTTTATTTATATAGTAAAAGATTGTACATGAACAAATTCAAACAGATACAAATGCATGTTTCCTGCCTAAACTCCTGCAGGTTCATTGGATGGAAGGCATTTTTCTTCATTTCCTGTTCCTAGTTTTTGTGCAGGTTTTGTATTTGTAGCACCCTGCAGAAATTAGAGGCCAAGTTCACCCTTCTCCCACACTTTGTGTTGTCATTTACAGCTGTGTAAAATGCTACTATTACAAGGTAAGAATATTTTATACTTATTTCACATTTGTAAATGATTATTTAAAGTTTAGGATAATGGTGAATTGATCCTGTAACAGAGGGCCTTCCCCAGGCCAGTTAGAAGGTGGCCTGCCCACCTGTTTCTGGGCTACCCACCTGCCTCTCTCTCTCTCATTGTAGCATGGGGCTTTCCCAGGGCCAGTTAGAAGGTGGCCTGTCCACCTGTTTCCAGGCTAACCGCCCACCTCTCTCACCTGCCATGCCTTGATGGAAAATGATTAAAATATTACCAAGGCAGGAGGCTGGCCATTTTCTGCCCTGATGCCAGAGGGCATTATCTGCAGCTCTGAAACCTCCCCTACGCAGTAGCTCATGCCTCACAGACAGCATCTTAGTTCTTAACATCTCTGGCCCCACACTTGGCCCCATAACACTCTAGTTTGGATGCCAACTAGACCCCTTCCCATCAGGTGGCCTACTCTGCCCTCATTATGGGCTGCTTAGCTCCCTGCACTTCTCCCGCTTTTGGGTGTGGTTCCCCCAGGACCTTTGGCCACACAGGCCCTGGCCTCACCTCCAAAGCCAGGCCCTCAGCTGTAGGCATCCCTCACAGTGGGCCACTGGCCCTTTTGAACCTTCTGGTTCTGGCCCCAGCATTGACCAGTCAAAGGTGCCTCAAGTCAGGCTTCTGAGCAACCAGCCCACACTCTTTTACATGGGTCCTCCTTCTCAGGTCCTACTACAGGGTTACCTACCCAATTGTGGGAGCTGGGGTTATTAAGGTGCCCCAACCTGCCTTTCACCAGCATGGTAAGCGGCCTGGCATTTCCTGGGGGCTCCTGTGCCACCAGGAGCCCCACCAGGCCACCCATCCCTGGCAGGGTGCAGTTTTAGGTCATG